CCTAAACCTATATTTAATATAATAGTACTTAATCTAAATAGTACTAAGAGAGGCTAATAACCCTATTATACCTATTATTTATATAAATTAGACTAATAGCTAGCCTAATAGAAGTAAACCTCTTTAAATAATAAAGGATATAGTTTATAATTTAACACGAGTATAGTAAGAGTAAGACGCTTTTTATAATAGTATAAAATATAAAAGCTATATAGCCTTAGTTTTATAGTTTTATACTCTTTAGAGTCTTAGTAAAATTAATTAATTCTATTTAAAGTAAGGTTATTTTATTATCTTATAAGTATATTATATTATATAATTAAGATTGATATATTTATATATATATATATTTTATCTTTTTACTAAGAAAAAGCCTCCTAGATAGGGTAGTATAATAAGTAATAATTAGTTAACTATATTACTTATAAGATTAGTAGCTCTAACTATCTTTTATAATATAACTTATTTAATATCTAATACTAGTAAGGCTATTTATAGTACTAGTAATAAGTAATACTATAAGTTACATAAGAATAAATTAAGAGATAAATAATAATAATAATAATAATATTATTATTATTATTTAAATATATAATAAATAATATAATATAAGAAATAAGGTATTATACTATTTACCTTATATATATATATATATATATATATATAATTTTATACTATTAAAGCTTATCTTTGAAAATTAAAATAGATATTATTATTTACTATATACAAGCTAAAGAAAAGGGAGTTTTTCTTTTTTTAAAAAAAAACTAAAAAAGATTACTTATTTTCCTCTTAACGTATAGGTTAGTATTTTCTATAAAGCTCTATACGGGTAGGAATAGTAACTTACTATAATCAGCCTAATTCTGAAGCTATCGCGCTATCTCGCGAAGGCTACGGGGCGATATATCCGGGCTATCGGTATTATCGGTATCCTCTATAATAAAGGCGCGGCGCTTCTTATTTTTCAGGACTATAAATCTAATTAGTATAGTTCTATACAGAGTTATAGGGAGCTGTAAGGTATCTTATAGTATAGCGAACACTTAGCTCCTTCCGAGCCGCTATAGTAATTACCGCACGCTCCGTTCCCGAAGCCGTCTAAAATAACGCAGCCCTCTAAGTTACCGCGCTCGTCTTACTATTTTTCGTAGCGGTTATCGTTAAACTACTCCTGGCTAAATAGCTAAATAAAAAAACCCGTGATAGCCTACGGGCGTTTTATATCGAAATCGGGTAATTTTATTTTACCCGCCTTTTCGTACTTAAGCTAGAGAACGATACCGCGCCGGATCTATTTTATATATAAGTATATAGTGCTATATAGGGGTATATAGTATAATACCTACGGTATCTTCTTTACTATATACCTAGTGATATCTCTTAAGTATTTATTCTTATTACTATTAATATATTAGCTTAGTTCTAATACTATAGTATACAGATACGTATAGTCTAGTATATATATAGTTAGTTCTTTACCCTCTATACCGGAGGGCTATACTATAAGCGCGGGAGGGAGTTCGTCGCCGCCGATTATATTCGGCCATTATACCCGACAGGTATTAGCGGCTATCTTACGAATTATCTTTATACTTATATATATAGATCTATAATCGCTATATTTATCTATATAGATCTATCAACACCTATACGTTATATCGCTATATTAGCTAACTACCTAGTAAGAATACATATAACTGTAACTGGTAAAATAGCTTTAAAGATAAGGATACTAGTAGATCTAACCCTGTAGAATCGAATCCCGATATCTGATTTAATACTATAGCTCTGTATAAGGGTATAGGTGGGTTTACTTACCTGACTCGTTATTAGTTATCTAGAGAGGAAAATAAGATTAGTGTAGGCGTAGTGTTATAGTAGTATAAGGGCACGAAAAAAATTTCTAGGCTTCTGATTAGTTAGCTAGCCTAGGGCTATTCTACTAAGGTGCTCTACCTACTACTAGCGTACCACTATATACGAGTCTGTATACCCCTATACGGGCGTTTATATATGAATTTTTTTAGGATTTTTGGAAGTTGAAACAGACCGTCCTGCCGCTTGCCGTACTCGTCTTAATCCGCGCGAGTAAGAAAGAAAAATAAGAGAATAAATGAAAAAAAAAAGGAGGCAAGACAACGGATTCTCCCGAGACCTGCTCCATATGCAGTACACGCACCGTAAACTGGGAGAAAAAAAAAGAAAAAAAGAATCAAACCCCCACCCATGCAAACGATAGCATTGGTCAAACTCCTCTTGGGCCAACCCAGCCGACTTGACATGTTGGTCGGCTTGCCGTATCTGTCCACGCCCTCACGCTAACCCCCTTTTCGCCATCATCCAAGCCATGGCGGCGGGGACCCAACGGATCTCAACCGGACGAGGGGTCAAGAGGGGCAGACCGACCTGTGGACAGAGGGGATGGGATGGGATGCATGGGGTTGCGATGCTGAGGATTGATCCGCCAAGCTCCAACTCCATCCCCATTTCTTGACCCTCTTCGACTCACCTGCCCCCCCTTTTGTGACCTTTGTGTGGTCCCATTATCTTGTCCCTCTCTCCCATTTTCTCACGACTTTGCGCAAGTCAAGTCGTCTGGCTCATCGTCTGGCTCATCGTCTGTCTGTGCTCCAAGATCAATCGAGAGCATCAATCTCCCCGACTCCCACGATGAAGGGCCTTCGCACCGCCGCCCTCGCGGCCATCCTCTCCTCCGCCGCCTATCTCGTCCTCGCCGACGATACCACCTGCGAGAACATCCTCTCCCCCAGCTACCCCGTCCCGGCCGTCCACCCGGGATGGAAAGCCCAGCTCATCATGGAAGGGCTCGTGAGGCCCCGTACCCTCGAGGTCGACGCCGAGGGCGCCCTCCTCATCCTCGACGCCGGCGTCGGCATCCGTCGCGTCACCTTCACCGACCACGGGTCCACCTGTCTCGAGGTCGACGAGAATGACCTGCTCGTCGACGACGACCGCGTTAGTTTTATTCTACTGTGCTCCATTCATGTTCTTAGTCCTCTTCGAGGGAAAAAAAAAAGGCAAAAAAAAAACAAAAAAAAACTATAAAACTAACCCTTGCGTCCTTCTGTCAGCTCAACCACGGCATGGCCCTCTCCCTCGACGGTCGCACCATCTACGCCTCCACCCCCGACTCCGTCTACGCCTGGTCCTACGACCCCTCCACCGGCTCCATTAGCGACAACCGCACCACCGTCGTCGACGGCATGCAGAGCAGCGTCCACGTCACCCGCACCCTCCTTGTCTCGCGCCACAGCCCGGGCTACCTCGTCATCGCCCGCGGCAGCAGCGACAACCTCGCCCACCAGGCCCACGACCTCGACGCCGGCGTCTCCCAGGTCCGCGCCTTCAACCTGAACAACACGGCCGCCTACCCCATCGACTTTGTCGCCGGCGGCCGCGTCCTCGGCTGGGGCCTGCGCAACTCCGTCGGCATCGACGAGGACCCGGCCACCGGTCGCATCTACGCCGTCGAGACCTCCATCGACGATGTGGAGCGCAATGGCGAGCTCATCAAGGAGGATAACCCGGCCGAGGAGCTCAACTACCTCGGCACCGTCGCTGAGGCCCTGGAACGGGAGGACGATGCCGACGCCCCGAACTTCGGGTACCCTGTCTGCTACGCCGTCTGGGAGGCCGACGACATCCCTGATCATGATGGGCTGGAAGTTGGTGACCAGTTCTCCATCGAGACGAACAGCACGCTGAACGATACGACTTGCTCGGAGAACTACGTCTCTCCTCGTCTGTCTTTCGCCGCCCATACTGTGCCCCTTGCTATGAGGTTCACCCGGGAGGGTTCCCAGGCTTGGATCACCTTCCATGGAAGCTGTGCGTTACTGTCCCCTGTCTTTTGTCCACCTTGCTACACAACCCAGCCTTCTGCTCTCTACGTTCATCCTTGGTTTCCCTGCATTCTACTCCCCGTCGTTTCTTTTCGTGCTTTCGTTTCTTCCCTTTTTTCCTTTTATACGAGAAAAAAGACATCAAATACTGACCAGCCTGGCCACCACATAGTCAACCGCGAGGACCCCACCGGCTACACCCTCTCCGTCGTCCAATTCAACGACGGCGAACCCGTCGAACCCGCCACCTCCCACGACAGCGTCACCCACATCATGAGCATGGCCGACCTCACCACCTGCCCCGACAACTGCTTCCGCCCCATGGCCATCGCCTGGGGCCCATCCGGCCGCGTCTTCCTCACCTCCGACAGCACCGGCGAGCTCTACATCATCGAGCGCCGCGCCGACGGGCCCTCCGGTACCCAGTCCGGCACCATCGAGCGCCCCGAGGAGACGGGGTCGCCCGACGGCGGCGACGACCCCGACAGCGCCGCCGTTGGTGTCTCGGCCGTGCAGTCGCTTGGTCTTGCTGTTGCCGCGGTTCTTACTGGCTTGCTCGTGGCGATGTAATCTGTGCTGTCTTTAGCGTACATGGAGCGTGTGTGGGTGGTTAGCTGTGGAAGATGGTGACGAGTTGCTGGGTGGACGGCGTGTTAAAACGAGGAGTCGGGGATGACTTGTAAAGGCGAGGACGATAAAGAATCATGAGACAACCACCTGGAATTAGTATTTATTCTGACATTTTACCGAGGACCAACCTCCAAAGTGGTTGGCACGTAGGATGGTTGTGAAGTATGCACTATGCACATGCAGCCATAACGCAGATCCCCTGCCGTCATTAACTAACTGAACCCAGGGATGGAGTGACTCTGAAGAAGCACAGGGTATATTCATGTTGGTCGTTCATCTCATAACCATTATAACGGTCCCTCTCTGCAACCTACTAACCCACATGCGGCCAGAACGCCGTCCAGTGCACATCATGATACGCATCCTTCGGCATCGACCGAAACACCGCGAAAATCTCGACAAAAATCACAAGCCGAGCCATAATATACACGGCATAGGCAAAATCAGCCACTGCCCTGAATAACCACCGGCGGATGAAAGTATCCTTCTTCGCCTTCCGCGTCCATATCCACAACAAGTCGAACGTGAAGTCGAACCAGGGTTGCGTCGAGAGCACGGGCACCAACCCCCCGATCACCATGACGACCAGCAAGATCAAGCTGCTCGTCCGCCAGAGAACCGTCTCGGTGGACGTGGGGAACGGAAACGACCAGCTGACGAGGTGAATCACGGCATGCACGACGGAAACCACCCACACAATGGTGGCCTCCCCCTTGCTCAGTGGGCGCTTGGCGGCCCCAACGAGGACCCTGGATTTTACAGCACTGTCAGGGGAGGGGAGGTCTCACTATAAAGGGGGAAAGGGAAGCAAGACTGGTGTTGATACAGGGAAGCCAATTAAGACTTATGTAATACAACAGGAGTGGAGGCGTCTAAGACAAGACCAATTGGGTAATTATCTAATTATCTAATCATCTGAGAGTCAGTCAGGTAGGTACCTTGGTTGTCCACAATACTTCGTACTGGAACCCTTCCTTTTGCTGCTTCGTTTCACGAGGATCAAACTCCAAAGGCCCCAATCTACTTGAACCCGTACCTCGGAGCTCACTTCTATTTCGTACCGTATCGCACAATTGGATTTAACATTGACGAAACCCTAAGGCCAACCATCCCCTTGTACGGCTACCTACGGAAGTGCTTCGCCTTTATGTACTATCTCTGGACGAATGAGATTTAGTCTCTCCGTTTGTATGGGAAACAGCCGGTTAACAACATGAAAATCTGCATTTTCCAGCCAGGATACCACTTCTTCATTCATCGTGGAGCAAACCATAATGTGACTGGCCAGAATCCAGAAGATGCGGATTTGCGACGGTGGTTATTGTTTGTTATTCCGTTGAGATGCAACGAGACCCAACCAGACGAGCAGGCCATATTTGTACAACCATCCGTACCCTGACATTGAATGCAGGCCGATGGTTTGTCAGCAACGACTCCCGTAAGCAAACCCCAGGAGTGGGGCGTCCCGGACGCTGTGGGTGGCAGGGTATCTCGTACCTGCAGAAATGGGGCTCACCGCCAAAAATTACACATGGTCACAAAGTCACGGCAGTATTCGTCACTCGTCTCTCAGACTCAGACTTCAGACCCGACCCCTCAACTTAATTTTCCCCTCAACTTAATTTTCCCCTCAACTTAATTTTCTCCTCCCCATCTACGATCAGCTTCTGCCTTTCCCCCTCATCACCTACGCCGAACCTCTGTCGTCCGGGCCATTGTCTCCTTGTTCAGCCCATCATCCATGTCAGACTCAGAGGACTCCGGTTCCGAGAACCCTTACGCTGACCTTCTCCCCCCAGGTGTCGGCACCATCACAGCCTCCCAGGTCAGAGCAGAGAGAGATCGGCTCGCACCTGAAATCTTCACCAAATGGGCTGTCCTCAGTGACATCGTGCAGCGTCACGAGGCAACAATTCAGAACCGATGGATCCGCAAGTCGAAGCCCAAACGCAGGTCGATTCTGCTCCAATGCTTTCCCGGCATGCCCAAGGACCACCTCCCAGATGTGGCCGCTTGGAAGAGGAAGCCCAAGGGCACCTTTCTCAACTTTACGAACCAGGACGCTTATCTCATGCCCTACCTCAACCTGGAAGACCTTTCCAAGACGGAACCCTTGCTGATCATGCTCAACGCCCGCGGCCGCCACCGCCCCGATGAGTTCGCCCACTCCGATGTCGCCGCCTATCACGTCGGCCTGGTCACCCAGAGCATCGACCGCCCTTTCCTCAACGAGTACGTGCTCATGTTCCGCGGACGCGCCCACCCGGACACCTACGGTCAGGTCTACCACTGGGACGACCACGAGGATGCCTTCTTCTGGATGCACGAGGCCAGGGGGCTCGTGCCGGGCGACGGCCTCAACTGCCTCAGGATACAGGCCAAGCTCTACGATTTCTTGGTCCGCTGCTGCCTTGCCATTCTTCACGATATCAGCCCGGACGATATGCTGAGGCCGCAATACCCCGTTGTCGACGAACCCCCCCGCGTTTCTGCCACGGACAGCGACCCTGAGGCGCCGACGTCCCTCGCCGTCACCAAGTTCGAATCCACCTACCGACCCCCCGCTCACCTGGACCTCGACCGTCTCGAGACCGTCGTCGCCGCCCAAGTGGCCAAACTCGAGGACGATCTGTGGTCCATCCGAGAAGACCCCGAAGCTTTCGCCCACGCCATCCTGGAGGACAAGGAGCACCGCCAGGAGATGCTGCTCGACACCAACGGAAACCCGCACCCCAGCCTCGACCCCCTGCGCATCCACGTCTTCTGGCACCGCGTCATCAACAGCGCCCTCGTCGACCGGATCGTATCGTTGGGCGTCTGGCAAGTCGCCCTCGACAAGGTCATCCAGCTCCGCCAGGCCATGGACAAGCACAAGGAACAAGTCGACCCGGCGAAGGACCTGCCGGAAGAGCTGGCCATGGCTTTCTACCACCTCTGGGCCGCTCTCGAGCGCATGGAAGCCGGCCCCGTATCCACCCTGAAGAAAACCTTCCCCGGCTCGCCGCCTATGCGGAGTCACTTTGTGCGCCAGCCGCCGCCGAACCCCCAGACCCCCATGATCCAGGTCGTTTCCAAGGACATGGCCCGCACCCCGGCAGACCAGGAACTCCTGGCCATCATGCGGATGCTCTGGGATGACCAGGAGCGCTTCCTCCTGACGACCCCGGTCCTGCTCGACATGCTCGACAGTCTCACCCGGAAAGACCCGTCGGTCCAAGCCCTGCTGACGTCCCACGTCCGCGACCAGCTCGGCCATTTCGCCCTCATCTCCGAGTGTCTCCGCCAGCTCAAGTTATTCCGGCCTTGGGCCGACACCTTCGAGACCAAGATGATGGAAGCGCGCGAGCAGATCGACAAGGACTTTGTCGACCGCACGCGGTGGATGGGCCCCATCAGCCAGATGAGCCTGAACAACGACTTTGCCAAGCTCGGCGTGCCCGCCGACGGGCGGTTCCGCTACCCGGCGGCCAAGAAGCGGACCAGGGAGAACGTCGAGGCCATGCGCTCGGCCGAGGCGGCCCTCGACGCCTTCTGGGCCGGCTTCTTGGCTTCGTACCAGCGGACGCTGAACCCACGGCTGCGGGAGATTCTCGTGGAGCGCCAGCCCCAACGGACCCCGCCCTGGGCCGAGACACAGCGGCCGCCGGCTCCACCGCAAGGTCGGGCCGCTGGCGATGCCTCCTCCACTTCTTCCCCTCCCTCTTCGTCCCCTTCCTCACTCGCGACGCCGTTTGGCGGATTGAACGTCAACGACGAATCGGAAAGCTCGAGCAACCGCCCTGCTGCTCCTCGTGCACCCAAGGTGAAGATCCGGGGCGTCCCAGACGCGACCAAGGCGGGGGAAGCAGCAGTAATCCCTCCCACCGTCGCCACCGCTCCTGAACACGCTGGAGGCGAGACCAGCAACAGCAAGAACAACAGCAACGCCCCCGTGCTACGCGTAGATCGACGATCTCTCAAAGCCTTCCGGGCTCTCTTCTTCTCGCCCGACGCCGCCCACCAAGCGGGCGAGACCAACTGGGCCGACTTCCTCTACGCCATGACCAAGGTCGGCTTCTCGGCCGAGAAGATGTACGGGTCTGTCTGGCAGTTCAGGCCGCGCTTCACCGCCGCCGTCCCCACCGGGGATGACGCTGCCGTGGGTGGCAGGCCGCTGCAGGTGCACGAGCCGCATCCGTCCAGCAAGATCCCCTTCTGGTTGGGGCGGCGTCTCGGAAGGAGGCTGAATCGCATGTATGGATGGGATCGGTCCACGTTCGTGGAGGCGTGAAGACATCTCTTTGTATCACAAATGACGAAGCATGCGGTTGTTTCGTTCAACTCCCTTTGCTGCTGCCCGATCTGGCAAATCCGGGACGGTTGCTCCCGTTCGATTGCTCTCCTGGCCGTTGCATTGTAACAGTCAACGGTGAAACGCCTACATGTTTGCTTCCGTCACATGCAGGCTAACTTGTGGAACAGGCCGCCGCCTGTCCTCCAACGTGTTGTCGTCTTCCCGACCCATTCCTTTCCCGTCCTCCCCTTTCGATTCCCATCGCTCCGAATGCGGTCGCGACCCAGTTGGACAAGAATGGATGGCAGCCTTGGCGTGCATGAGATGGATGCATTGGGGGCGGGGATCTTTGATTGCTTTTTATCAGATCATCTGACAAGATGATCAGCCGTCCTCATCGCTCCAAGCTTCGTGTAGCCTTCAAGACTTCCCCTGTCTGGAAGAAGGCCGACTGGATCCAGCCATTCCATAGCTTCCTCGCCTTTCCGCCCAAGCTTTGAGGCTAGTACCCTTCATCTGCCAAGCTGCAAGTCATCTCTTTGCCGCCTCCCGTCTCCTGTCGCCCGTCTCCCGCCACCTCGTCATTCTTACTCTTCGTCGTAGTCAGGTCCGTTTTGGAGACAGATGCTCGGTGTGCCGCGGGTGTACCATGACATCCGCAGCCTCCGTTCCACCGCTATTGACGAAAAGAGACTGTCGATGTGAGTTGGTAGTTCGTGCAATAGCCATTTGCGGACAGACCGACCCGTTACGCGAGGACACACCTGGACATCTCGGCGGTAGCCACGTCAAAAGTTACTGCGAGATGACTCTGCCACGATACACATGCATCGACGGCAACCGGTGACAGTGAGAAGACAACTCGCCTACCGCGGCCCAACGTCTTAGTCCGACTGGACCTGACGTTGCAGTCACGCCGATGGCTATCTACATCTTCGCGTTCGGCACCTCGCTCGCCATGGAGCCCTCGTGCTTGTCGTCATCAAGCCTTGTTCGTCGTGTCGTGACAAAGTGAACTGCATCGACGAGAGCCTTCGGTTTCCTAGATGTCGAATCCCCAGGTGCATAAGTAAGGCGGGCTCGCACCGTCAACTGTCTCTCCCTCGACCGTCTCTGCTCGCCACGCTTCTTCTCCCAATTCTTGCCTCTATCCAACTAGACCAAGCTTGCCTCCATCCTGTTCAAGGTCAACCATTTCTGGCAAAACCCTGTCTGATTGGAGACCAATAATATCAAGAAGACCACCATCAAGATGAAGCCCACCATGGCCCTCTTCGCCGCTGCTGCCGGCATCCTCTCCTTCCTTCCCTTCGTCACTGCGTGCGAGGAACGCGACATCATGCCCGCCAACATCCGCAGGGACGACGGCGAGGTTGCGAAACTCGAATGTCATTCTGCTTGCGGTACGTATCGTCGTCCTTTTCCCGTATTTGGCCCCCATCCACCCAAATGCTAACCGACACCAAGGCAATGCTATCGCGGGCGCCAGCGACGAAGCAGATTGCGCCGACTCGGCCTGGCGCGGCGACTTCGACAAATGCGTCCAGTGCGCCGAGAAAGTCAAAATCTGGGATCACTACAAGCCGGGCGTAGCCAAAGCGGCGCAAGTCTGCGGGCTCAAGCTGACGGAGGGCCACAAGTCGGACCATGACACCACGGTAAAGTCCCCCCCCCTTCCCCTTTCTCTTCTTTCTCTTCCTCTTCCTCCTCACCCCAGTCTTTGTCCCCATTCTCCATTCTATCTCCACAGGAGTACATGCTAATCTGTCCGTCACGCTCAGAGCACCACTGTCATCGTCAAGGCCCACGCCGACGGACGCGATAAGGAGAACAGTGCCGACGCTCTTTTCACGTCGTCTTCGGGCGCCGTTCTTTTCGCCATGCTGACTGCTGTTGGCCTGCTCTGATTTTTTTTAAAAACAAAAAGTCTTCGAACCTACGGGACCTACGGAACCTAGAAAACATAACCCCCCACGGGGCTTTGCTCCCACTCCCGAGGGGGGGATATCGAGTTAAGAATGACTGGGCAGTGTCCAGCAGAACTGTTCATTGCACGGTCGGCATGGCTCTACTTTGGTTAGGCGAAGTGCTTTTTAGCTTGGGGGAAACGACCTCGTAGCACTTCGAGCCGACGTCGAAGTATTTCCACTCGTTAGATTCTACGCCTTAGGGCGATATATCAGGAGCGCACCCGCCAAAAGACCTCAAATTTCTCCTGTCTACCGTACCCCCTGTGCATTGCCATGTAGAGTACATGTACCCTGTGACTGTGACCCGATTGTTCAGTTTAGGAAGAAGGATACTTTTAGATGCCTGTTACTTGGCCTGCTAGAACGCCCCATACAGATCAAGATGGTTATACGGCGGTAGGAAAAGAAAGTCCATGTAGAGAAGAAATAGAAGACTAAGTTGTGAGAATTCTCGCAGAAGAACAGATAAAGGGTGAAATCCATGCTGTTAAAAATTCATCGCAGAGATGCCTCGATATTTGGAATTGTATATAGGCAGTACACCGACGAAACATGCCGAGACATAGCCGTCCTCTGTTGGGGACAACGCCTCTTGTCCCATCACTACAGATTCCAAAAAAGCCAGTCACATGCAGCCCGACATCGGCCCGTGGACTTTTCGAAAGTGGAACGGGAGACTGCTTGGCAACGGCAGATGAGAGGGGCCAAAGAAGAAAAAGAAGTGCATCCGTAGTGACCCGTATGGGCCGTATGGGTCGCACCGAGTACCGAGTACATATTACGTCCCATCTTATCTGATGAGATTGATTAGATCCTGCTTTGCGGCCAATCATATCCACGGACCCTCCCGACTAGTCCCCTTTCCCCCCTTTTATACCCAGGAATCCAGGGGCCACCATGTAACGCTTGAGGCTTTTTCGCCTCCTTTTCGCTGCTATTTCTTCTCAAAAGCATCCGCAGTCGTTGGAACAGCCTATCATGATGGGTAGAGGAAAGAGGGGTGCCCGCCTAGTCGACGGGTCGAAGCACTTACGAAGTACACACGTAGGACGTAGCTTGGCCCCTCTACAAGTATTTTAGGCCTGATATAGGCGGGGAGATGCGACTGCTGCTACCCCTCGGGTCTCCGATCTTTCGTGGCGGCCTTTAAATACTACAGCTTCCCGAGGTCGTCATTTGACACGTCTCTCCTTCTTCTCTTTCTCTGCCTCTCCCGCTAAAACCTCGGTCCTCGAATATCAATCACTACGAGCGCTTCCGCCCTCGCAACCATGACCGACTCACAGCCCACCCTTAAGGGCCTCGCAGCTAAGGTTGCAGAGGTCACAGAAGCCTTCACTCGGACATTAGAGGAGAATAAGATCCCCGAACCCACATTCGCCGCCGACAGCCCGACAAGCTACAGTGGTCTGACAGGGGAGATGTTCCTTCAGCGTCAGCAGCTGTTGGACCACCTCAACGACATGATCTACTTGGTCCAAGGTCCCAGCGAGAGCATCTTCAATTACGCGCACAACGTAAGATATTCCCATCTCTTCCTTACTCTCCCCCCCTTTTTCTCTTTTCGCCCAGAACCTTCCCCCTCCTCCAACACTAACTCCCTCCCAGTGCATGCCCGACGTCGCGGCCCTCAACATCCTAAACCACTTCGACTTCTGGTCGGCCGTGCCCCTCGCCGGCTCCGCCACCTACAGCGAAATCGCGCTTCACACCTCCCTCCCCGAAGAAGTCGTCACCCGCGTCATCGAACACGCCACCACCCTCCGCATCTTCGAGAAGACCGCCTTCGAGCCGGGTACCCCCCTTCGCATCCGCCACACCTCCCGCTCCGCCGCCCTCGCCAAGTCGGCCGGCCTGCGCGCCCTCGTCTCCACCGTCCTGGACGACGCGGGTCCCCCCATGACCGTCATGCAGGAGGCCCTGCGGAGGTTCAACGCCGGAAAGACCGAGCTGGCCCAGGACATGACCCAGACGGCCTTTGCGCTGTACCACAGCGGCGCGTTGGCCGGCAAGTATGCGAATTCGTGGGAGTTCATCGAGAATGATGGCGAGGGGGGGAAGAAAGGGTGGAGGCAGCGGACGTTTGTGCAGTTTATGGACTATATTAAGGAGATTTTCCGGTTGGAGGACGTTGTTGAGAATGCTTATGATTGGAAGGCTGCTGGGACGGCCACTGTCGTTGATGTGAGTCTCTTTTCTTTTCTTTTCTTTTCTTCTTTCTTTCTTCCCCCTACCCCTGACTGCCCCAAACAGAAGTGCTAACGGTGAATGTTACCGCAACCACAGCTCGGCGGCTCGGGAGGCCACGACTCCATCGTCCTAGCCCGCAAATTCCCCGACCTAAGCATCGTCGTCCAGGACCTCCCCCAAGCCCAGCCCGTCTTCGAGAAGAACGTGCCCGCCGATCTCAAAGAACGCGTGACCTACTCCGCCCACGACTTCTTCAACCCGCAACCCGTCCAGGCGGACGTCTACATGATCAAACTCATCCTCCACGACTGGCCCGACAAGGAATCCGTGCAGATCCTCCGCGGCCTCGTCCCCGCCCTGAAACCCGGCGCGAGGGTTCTCTTCATCGACTATGTCGGCAAGCAGGACGAGCTCGCAGGCAGCGCGTCGGGTCCCCCTCTTCCCCGGTCCATCCAGCAGTTCGGCACGTCGACGGACCTCCGTATGTTGGCGCTGTTCAGTGCCAAGGAGAGACCTGTTGGTGCTTGGAAGGAGATCTTCCGCCAGGCGGATGAGAGGTTTGAGTTGGTGAGGGTTGAGGCGAATCCGTTGACCTTTATGGTGATTATTGAGGCTGTTTGGCGTGGGTAGGCCGTACAATGGACATTGATAGGGGTTTTAAGACTACAAGAGACAATCGCTTCCATACTCTGAGGAGCACCCCATCGTGCCACAGCGTCTCTCAGTACTCGCCTTTCTCAAGCAAGACAGCGTTCCTTTCCCTCGTCTTATCCCGCCGTCGTCCTGCCGTCGTCCCACTTCATTCGAAGGATGGTAAATCACTGAACGCAGCGGCGTTAGGGTCAGAGGGGATATGCCCAAAGTACGGAGCTATATCCGGCATGACCCGTATAAGCCAACAAAGTCCTCAATGGTTTTGAGGAGGATCGATGTCGTTTGCATCTTCCTTGGAAGCCATCCATCCCATTATCACACTTGGTGTAACAGGAAGAGCTTTTTTGATGCGGCGCCCCTATCTGTCTCGGCCTCGCTCATTCCATCTTGATCCTATATCAACCGATGACTGCGAAGTGCAAACATGTCCTGAGGACCGTCTCATGGGGGGAGCGGTGCCCCCCTGAACACGACCTAGTATGGACAGGGGCTTCAAGTCGGATCAGGCCACCTTGGGATCGTCGGCCATGCGCTGGAATATAGAGAGTACGAGGCCGACAAGTCGCCCTCAGGGTCTGACGGAGGCTTTGCTGCTATTCATCGCGAATTGTTCCAAAGTGAAGCGATGGAAGCTAGGGCCTAGCAGCTCGTCTTCTCGTGAGACGAGAACTTGAAGGCAATGGAATCTCCGAATCGGACGGCCTCGCAAGTCTGGCGGCTGGCCCGACTCCCGAGTCAATACATCCATGCTTTATGATAAAGCTGTGGTCGGCTCTGGTCCTGTATGGAAAGCGAGTGGCCACGCCTCGTCTTCCCCAGGCTTGAGAGGTCAATCATCAAAGCCGTTGATGTTCTTGACACTTGTGCGGGGGAGCCGGGGAAGCATGTTTGACTGCCAAGAACCGTTGGTCCGTGGACCCCAGACTCGACGCCAGCCCTTCAAGGAAGATCCCTGTCACCCCCGGGAGTCGTGATCCGGGGTTGCTGTGGAAAGCCCACTCGACGTTCCCCCGTCCAAAGGGGAGAGGGAGAGAGAGAGGAGAGCTCAGGACCCGCGCTCCTCATCTATGAGCGTGGCAAGTTCCGGAAACCGTTTCCGGAAAACATCGCCCACGGTCCAGTTGCGCATTTGGCGGAGGTGCTCTTCGTAGACGGGGTTGATGGAAAACTCGGCCACGCTGGAGTCGGTGGGATTTGGGATGGTGATGACGACGTGAGACGGGTCGTAGGGCCAGCTGACGTTGAAGCTCGAGCTGTAGGGGGCGGCCCAGTCGTCGAGGGTGATTTCCGGGTGCATGATGAGATACTCGCGAGCCTTGGGCCTTGTGGGAGCGCAATATTGTCAGCCATGGCGAGGTGACGGTGGTGACCAGGACCACAGGATTCAAACAAAAAAACAAAAAAGAAGAAGAAGAAGCACGTACCATGGAATACGATCAATCCAGGCGGCGTGAGGAATTGCCCTCTGGCTCGGGATAGGCCGTAGCCAAGGCGGCATTTGTTCCCAGCTGTCCCTATCAAGAAGGACCATCCACTGTGAATGGATGATCACGGCGCTTCGTCAGTAGTCCGGGTCTGATTTTGGTCATACAATTCGGAAAACGTGTCCGAAAAAAATGATTCAGCGCCCCCTCCTCCGTCAACCCTCCCCCTATAATGCAGATGCAGACAATAAAAAAACTCACCTTGAGAAGCAAAGCCATGTTCCAAAACACGGCAACCTGTTTCGGCAGGGTCTCGATTTCGGGGTAGGAACGCACGATATCCGCCACCACATTACTTATAACGTCCTCGGTCCGCCGCCTCGGGTCCATCAGGGAACAGACCCTGGGTTTTCGAGAGTAGGCGGCCGCCCTCTCGTGCGCGGGCTTGGGGGAGATGAGCGCCTTGGTGCGCACCGAGTCGATGAAATTCTGCAGGATCTCGTCGGCCAGACACGTGGGCGAGGTGTCCTTGGGCAGGATCTCCCAGGGGTGGAGGGTGGTTGCTGCGGCCACCTGGCCGAGACGAGGTGCGGTTAACGCTCGCGTGGCGCCGTCGGGGAGAGGGTTGCCGGCAGAGGCGCCAGCAGCGGCGGCGGCGGCTTCTTCGTTCTCCCGCCCCATGAGGCTGAGCTGAAGGGCGGCGTTCTGCGTCCTCAAGTGGGCGTTCTCGTTCTCCAGCGCGCCAAGCCTCGCTTGCAGTATGAAGATCTGGCGGTTCTTCTCTTCGACGGCGTGGTTCAGGAAGGCGACCTGCTCGGTTAGGGTGTGGATGGTCCATTTGTTACGGTCTCGCATGGCCTGCTGCGCCTTGCGGTCCCGCGCCCGTTTCCTCTGGAGGTCGATCTCCTTCTGCGTCATCCCCGCCGTGCCCGTCGTCGGATCGGGGGTGGCTGACCCTGCGGAAGACGGAGAGGTGGCGGACGTGACGGACATGGCGAGGGAGGGGCGACGTGCTTCTTGCACGGGCAGTGGCACTGGTACTGGTGGTGGCACGGACGGGTTGCCGATGGAGGCTGGAGGTGGGGGCCCTGGGGCTGGGGGGTCCATCCGAGCGAAACTTGGAAGTTGGTTCTGCGCTGATGCTGCTCCTGAATCCTGATGGTAATGGATGCTGCCGCTGCTGATTCTGTTGCTGTCGCTGGAAGAGGCAGGTGGGATGGCAAGTTGCAACAGGAGAGTCCAAGTGCCGGCTAGGTAGAGTCCGGGGCCAGAATTGACGATGGTAAACGCACGGCATGGAACAAGAATAAAGATGGATAATGGATCCTCTGGATCAGGCGGGGTTGTCAGTTCAAAGTAAGAGAGCGCGGGGAGGACTAGCGTGGTTCGGTTCGAGTGTGGTGCAATGTGGGATGTGGGATCACTGGGATATGACGGTCGGAGCTTGTCAGAGGCATGTCAGAGAGTGTCATCGGGGAGCATCGTCCCGGGGCATCGGGGCTGCTAAAAATCCGGGGCGTTGGGGTAATAGGGGGGAGGGGGTTGGTCGCTGACTAAACTGAGGTAATTCCCCTCACGTACCGAAGTAGCAGGGTACTTAAGAAGTGTGTACCGTAGTACCGTAGGTACGTTGTCGTGACGCTGTTGGTTTCAGTGGTTTGAGGCCAGATATTACACGGGGAAACAAGGAAACACCGCTAAAGTCTTTTACTTACAGCACTATGTCCGGGGCGTTGGGGTGGTCAAAGGCCCTAGGCCCTGGCTGTGAGACAGAGATACAATACACAGTGATTAGAGAGAGATCGGCAACACAATCAAACAACGACATTTACCGGTATTATTCGTAAATATTTCGATAAAGGCATACAGTTAGTTATGTCAAATAAAGCGTAGTCAAAATCGTTATAAAACAGGTCAAAATTAATTAAGGTAATTATATATAATTATAACTGTCTTAGACCGTCAGGGAAACGCTACCACTATATTTTATATAGTGTAGATTCTGTAAGCGTCTACCCGGATTATACTCTTAGTAATCCGGTCTATTACGTAACCGAAAAGACTATAGTCTATTCGACACATCCCCTAATCGCCCTAAACGTTAGTTAGGCGATTAAAGCTATTCGTAATCAGTAGATAATCCAGCTATATAATCTATTCGCTATAACCGCCATTAAATTTATCCTCTAGGTCCTCTAAATATTCTATCCGGACTTCCTCTAGCTATTTCTGCTATAACCGTTCCCGTATATCTATCACACCTACCTAAGACCTAAATATCTTAAATTTCTCGCCGTATAACGCTTTCGTTAATCTGTCTACCACTATTTCCGCGCTTATAACGTACGTTATAAGTATTTACCCTTATTCCTTTACTTAACGTAACTAGTGGCCGTGGATATTAACGTGGCGGAGGCGCGTTATTAACGTGCTAATCTCTTAATTAACTAATCGAATCGTTTAGTTATTATCTTATAAGATCCTTAATTCCGGATCGTTAAAGTCCACTTCTATACTAAGTAATAGGCGTTATATAAGGATACCCTCTTTTATACCTTATACTAATGCTAATAGCTCTACTTCCGTTATAGACATCGTGACTATATCCTGCTTATTTACGCGCCACGCTATTATACCGCTAAATAAACGTATCACGTACGCTTAACTACTTTTTCGATTAAGGGTATTATCGGTAAACGAGGCGTTAGTATAGATTTCGATAGTATCGCTACCCCCTAGTTCTAACGTAAACGATTATCTATTAATTAGATAAAGGATTAGATAATCAGCGGCCTTATAGTAAATAGGCCTTAGATTAACGTTAAACCGGTATAACCTAGATACTATAAACGCGATATTAGGGCGCGATATCACTACTACGTATAGTATAGATCCTATCTTCCGTTAATAGCTTTTAATATTAGTCGAGGTTCTTAAATAGGATAGTAGTTTTATAACCTTAATTAGGTACGTTAAGCGATAGTTACTGCTATACTCACTATTCGGCTTTAATAGGCGTTCTAACTTAGTAATATAGTCGCGTTATAATAGCTAGATTTTATGGGCGACGCGGTCGCGAATAACCTTAATACTAAGGAACTACTATAGAGGATCGCCACCTTATAGGTTATAGTGGCGTTATAGGTTATTAACGGCCTGCTCTATCTACGCCTTATATTATTCCTTATAAGTAATAACGATATCGTTAA